AAACTCCTCAAATTCTACTGGGACGTCTCCTGCCTGGAGACAAGACAAAAAAGTCAACTTAAAGATCAGCCATTTTAATCAAAGTTTAAAAATACATGCCATCAGCATATTTAATGGATACCCTTATATGGCCTATATGAAACCCAGCAATGTTATTTCCTGTGAATGTTTACAATTAATATTCCATCTATAGCATAGCAGATGAGATTAAGGGTGACTGCATGTCAGCCAATTTGAGTAATTAGCATATATAGATAATTGATCGACTCCAGACTGTTCAGAACTCAGCTGCTAGGCTTTTAACCAGAACAAAGAAATATGATCACATCACCCCTGTTTTAGCTTCATTACACTGGCTCCCAGTATGTTTTGGAATAGACTTTAAAGTTTTATTAATTACTTTTTTCTGACCTTTTAGTCCCATACGCACCAGCACGTACCTTGAGATCCTCGGGCAGAGGTCTGTTGTCTGTTCCAGAGTCTCGACTGAAAACTAAAGGGGACAGAGCGTTTGCTGTCAGGGCCCCGAGGCTCTGGAACAGCCTGCCCGAGGAAATCAGGTCGGCTGAGTCAGTGAACTCTTTTAAGTCCCTTCTTAAAACATACTTTTATAGGAGAGCCTTTCCCGATTTTATTTATTTTTAGCATGCATTTTAGTCTCTTAAGTGTTTTCTAGGTTGTTTTTTTTTTGCTATGTATTTTATTGCATTTGCACTTGTTAAAGCACTTTGTAACTTGTTTTTTAAAAGTGCTCTATAAATAAAGATCATCATCATCATTATACACACGCATATGTATTTTCTTCTACTCATGGCACCACATATAACAGGAAAAATACCTTGAACACTTCCTTGACAGCGGTCATCAGCTCAGGTCCCACTCCATCCCCTGGCACCATTGTGACCTTGAAGGTAGCATCAGCGCGGGCCGGCGGGGGTTCTGGGCAACGGAGACCAGCAGACACACTCAATGGTCGAGACACCAGCTGCTGCCACCGGGGGCCGCTCAGCCCCTGAGGATGGTAAAGAAGACACAGTCACAACAAGCACAATATAAAACGAGCATCTTTTCCCCTATAGTAGTAGCTATCCCTTTAATAACACTGGCTATAATGATGATTCCCAACATGTTTGGCTTGTGACCATTTACGACAAAGCAGTGGCTGTGTGACCCTTCTACTTAGTTTGCATATGTCTATGAGATGAGAGCAATTCCAATGACGTTCCCTTGTCTCTGTTCAATTTAAGAGGCCAGGAGAGGTAAAACTATCCAGGATCTCAGCTGACAAGATTAGTTGATTAATAAATTATTTGTTCAACAGAAAATTTATTGTATACAATTTCAAACACCATTCATTGTTTAAGTCAGAAATGAATGAAGTCTTTCCTGTGACTATGTAGTAGCTCAAAAATAAAATCCTGAAGAAAAAAAAATAAAATCCTCTCATTTTTCATCTCCAACTTATGCTTGTTCCACCTTTTCCAGTGTGAGGGTTTCTTGCTTTTCTCTGTTTTATATTATCATCAGGACTCAAAAGTTTGGGGTTTTTCAGACAGATTAAGACATTGGGAGATGGTCCATGTGGCTCTGTGAAACTGTGATGGGCATCTTCAAACATTTTATAGACAAACCAGCTAAATCAATTAACTTTTTTTACCCCCCCCATGTAAAATCATATCTATTGTGCCCATTTGATTAAATGGGATGGGTGTGTTGTTTCAAGAGGACCCTGAATGATCACCAGCCACTGACCAGTGGTCAAAATGAGACCTACAGGAAAATATAACACGACTAGTTGACTTCAACTGCCATCAAGAGACTATTTGAGCACAAACGCACGAGTGACTCCCACTGACATTGAATAATCGGGTAAGAGAGAAAAACTGAAGATGACACAAAGTTATCAAATCAAACATACTGTATATTATCTGACGAGGCCATATGTTGTTTTCAAGACAGTGTCGTTGTTATGTGTGTAAGGGTAACTGAAGCCTCTCTAGGAAAGAGGTTCCCATGTCTGGGTTTCTAGGTTAGCTAGCTACTTTAGCTAATTATCTCACATAACGTTACCCAAGAAGACACAAGTCTAACCTAAACTACGTGGCCGCTTACTTATTTGACGAGTAGGCAAATCTACAAGATTTCTTCCTGGTCGACCAGCTGATAAAACCAGATGGCGCAACAAAAGCACTTTATCACTACCGTTGACCTGAAGGCTAACTACGGGGGCTGGGCTCATGGTTAACTAAGCGACAAGACACAAGAAAGACGGTTTATGCTTTGGCTGAACAGAAATACAACTTCAACCACAGTAGCGCCTTTCCTTTGTATAAAATAAGCTTGTAAGCGTCATCTTTTCACTCACCTTGACCAATGTTACAAAGCTTCCTCTCATGGCGGCCGCCATCGTCACAAGCACGCAGCGACTGAGCTATTTCTTCTGTGGTTTTGTAGAGATAACAGGGGTCTGACTGCGGGACAATAGTGCCTCCAAACGGACACAACTGTTATTGTAACATGGCGTGAAAGTTGTATCCGCATCCACTGGGGACTGTCTTGCTCCGGGACACTTCGGCAGACTAGCTTGTAGGTTGGCATAACATGAGGGCTGAAACATGTAGCCTATTATTCTGGACAAAAATTCTGAGACAAGAAAAGGGGTGTTGGGGAACCACAGAAAGGGGACTATATTTGCCTTCTGTGCACTAATCTAAACAAAAAGCACGATTGAAAGCCGGAAGATGCAAATCTAACAATTATGATCTTCCACTGGTGCTACAGAGGAAGAAGAAACTTAAAAAGTCAATGCTGCTACATGTAGGCTACCCTACACCTGAGGGATAAATATCCCTATAAGGCAATACAGACTCACCTCATCTTCTGGCTTCAATTCATTCATTGCGACAGCCTTTACAGCCCCCATCACTTAGGAGAGAATAAACAAACAACAGTGACAACACACCCGCACTCTATATATGTTACACAAGTGACACAATGATTAGATCGGCATCTATATGCAGCACACAAGCAGGAAACACTTGTCTGTAACTTTCTGTGGTTATTTCAATGGGTTGAAGATCACTCTTTTTACAGGTGATGATGAGCTACTATAGTGAGGTTGAAAAGCAAGTTTAGTGAAATGAGAACTTGAATCCAAAGATGGGATGACACAGAGAGAAGAAATAGTAATATGTGGTGAAGAATTTAGAGAGGTGTAGAAAATAGGAGACACTTAAACCTTACAACTAGAGAGAGTAGATTAAGTGTACTTCTCTGTTTATTTTCTTTTCAAAACAATTGTAACTCATTATTTGCTCAACCCCATAATCTGATTTTATTTTCCATTTAACTCTTTTAACCCTGATTGTACACTGCACTGTAACTTTTATTATATTTTAATGTGTATTTTTTCAATTTCCCTATGTTGCTTTAAAACTTTTTATATTTCCCCGTTGCTTTTATTTTTTATGTAAAGCACTGAATTATGTTGTTGTTGAAATGTGCTATACAAATAAACTTGCCTTGCCTTGCCTTGCCTTACAATGTCTGGTAACTGTTCACTTCCCTTTGAACGATACAGGGGCCCAGAGCCAGAGCTGCTGCCCCGGGACATGCTAGGGATTACAGTTTTTTTATCAGAGCTGAGCTCAGGGGGCCCCAAAGTGTCTAGTGGTGCCCCTCCATCCTTATGTGAACAGCTGAGGATGCACATTTTCACTCTCATAAATTTTGCTTAATGCTGCATTGCCCGCCCTCTGAAACAGGTCTATCCTAAATAGGTCAGGGGATTCCCAGTCCTATTCCAGCCAAGTGATGCTCTCTACTGACACACAGGATGACATCAGATTTTAAAATCACCATCAATAAACTAGGTCAGTGGGCTACCCTCTGACATTGGTTAAATAGTCCTCCTTTACCTTGTTTGGCATTTCATTTGGTTATTCATGCTAGCATAATTTTGCCAGGGGCCAAAGTAAAACATCCAATGTATGTATGGACATTTTGCCCTGAGCCAGGCCTCTCAGGTAGTCCTTCCTCCATGTACAAATCCCTCCTCCTCCTTAGTTTGTTCCTCTCATACATTACCACTACATTCAAGCTACAGCGCTAAGCATCCAATTTTATTAAACACAAACCCCTGGTAATCTTAGAAATATACACAGATGAGACCATCTGTGTAACAGCACTTAAGGCATATTCACATTATCCTGTTATATCACCTCTTCCATTGGCCACCTTCATTGTAGGCTATAAGCCTACGCGATGAATTGCCTGTCAGCAGGCCGCTGAGCGGAGCAGGGGTGGCCTGGTTCAAATTTGTTGAACTTGGACCTGAGTTGTTGACTGTGTCCACTGCTTGAACTGAAATACGGATGAAAAACGAATGACGTGTGTTTGTGAATTTCCAGAACTGTCCAGTAACACATTGACCTCATATCAAGACCAGATCAAAAATATATTTGGTTGGTAAATACCAGCCCAGGTTTGAACCTCAAACTACTTAGATAAAAAAATATTTCATTTGCACAGTAAATATATTTTTTTCACAGTTTCCCACTGTGGCTCTATGCACTTATACAAATAGACATGATTGCCAGAAACACATGTCCATGGTGAAAAGTAGGAAACAAAATCGAGGTGGCTAGAGAAATCTTAAAGGATTCTGGAAATATTGTTAAATGACTTTCTTGGTTTTTCACAGGGCATTGGGAATGTATCTGTCAGGAAATGAATGATGTTATGACAGTTATATGACCTGAATGAGACTCATAAGAAGCTCAAACTGGGTTTACCCCACCGTTTTAAATAGTCTATTATGTATAGCTGTCTGGTGTGTACCCTCAGACTGGGTTAAGGCGTTACCCTAGCCAATTGGATTGGTGAAGGCGGAGCTTAGCGAATTGTAGCCGGACAGACAGTACTGAGGGATGACTGCTCCCATCGCAGGCAGTGCACGGCGAGTGGCTGACAGCCGCAGCGTAGTATCTGAGTTTACTATATATGGGCAAAGCCAGGCTGAGCGAGAGCTGCCCTCGCTTCCGTGTTTGTGTGATCAGGGAGTGCACAGCCGGGGAAGCGTCAGTCTCTACTGTTTCATTCATTTATAACAGTAACGATAAACAAGTGACCAGCAGGGAACATGCCGTATGAACTGAGTAAGTCTGTTTATTCTTAATAGCTAACGGCCGAGAGGAAATACAATGCATAATGTTGGTCGACATTATTCAGCAGACTGAGCTAGTCAGCCAAGTAGCCCGTAGCTAGCTGGTTAGCTAGCCTCGCCCATAGCTGCATGATTTTGACACTTCATTTCGCATGTGAAAGACAAAATCTTGGCACTGGAAGCGGTCCTGCCAGATTTAACGCACGCCTGTGTTTGATAAGCACGATTTGCTGTGAAGATGCTCCGGCACAAAATCCAGCTCATTACAGACCGTCCAAGTTGGCGTTAACGTTAGCTGGTCGAGCTAACGTCAGTCAGAGGAAATAGTTGTGCTCACATCGCATTGTTATGACATGTCCAGACAGAGGCTGGCTGACAGTCCTCTGCTGGGGAAGCGGCTCACACAAACGCGCTGTGTGGTTGCTGAACAAGCGTGAATTAAAGTTTGACTGCAATTTTAATGGCGAGCTGCTGGAGGTGAGAGTTAAGAAAGGTGTGATATAACGTTAGGGCCAATGCGGAAGCCCAAGAAATACACCAGCCTTGTTACAGCGTTTTTGTTAGTGCAAGATTTAATAGGCTTTTGTTGGAAAATTTACATTTATGTATATAAAGCCTAACTAAGATCATATATAATATAGATGATGCTTGTTTTTCGTCTTTATTGTCACAAGTTAAGAACCTAAACAATACATGGCCTATCCATGAATAAAGCAAAATCTGCCCTTCAGTTATCAGTAATACACTTCCCACAGTATAGTAACATGTCAAAAAGGGTGAAGCACAGTTTGAGGAAGTGTATTTAAATGATACAGCTTACAGTTATACGACATTTGTCTTATTGATACTGAGTAAGAATAATAATTTTGATGCAACAGCCAAATCTCCTGCCATCTTGTTTTTGTCTGGGGGATAAATAAGTTAATGTCTCACGGAGACTGCTAAGACAGCTCTGTCCTAACTTGGTCTGAACTTGACCAATAAGGACAGACCTGGCTGTTCAGTCAAAGTGTCCGGAAACGTTACTGACGGAAGAGGCTCTGTTCAGCACAAGTCCTCAGAATGACTAATGAAGAACTAAGTGATGTCGATTAAGTCTGCTTACTTGTGCCCTTTCTGGAGCACTGGAGGTGCAAGACATTAGTCCAGACGATGCACGTTTCAGGTGCTATCATGTTTCAGGCTGTAGATGCACAGTGTAATATTGTCTGTCTGCAAACTATACCTTTTTATGGAATAGTTCAGTCAAATGCTGTTTTCTGGTGTATGCTTACTTAAGTTATATTAACCTTTTAATGTTTTCGTGACCTATCATCTGTCATGCCTACTTTCTTAGGACATGTGTTCGCCAGTCTCCCACAGATGGAGAGGGGAGTTGCAAAAGTCATTGGCGGTGATCCCAAAGGGAACAACTTCCTGTATACAAATGGGAAGTGTGTCATCATCAGGAACATTGAAGTAAGTTTCATATTTTTAAGAGACACACTGTGTTGCTTGCTTATTTATTTATTCATACCAGCCTGGGTCGTGTTCTGGCCATTATTTATATTAGCCATGATGACATTTTACTCCGGCTTACGGTAAATTGCTTTTATTTCTACTGAATTTGGTGAGTCAAATTTAAACACCAACCTAAAAGCGACAAGTTCACTGACCTTTAGGTTAAAAGTATCATGTTTCTTGCACCTGACCACACCCTTTGCACGGTATTTAAGAGCTTTCCCAACCCATGCCACTACAAAACACGCAGCACAATAGCACGGTTGAATAGAGTGCGACCTCTGTTGCACGTGTATCACGCCTGTGGGTGATGTTGGGGTGAAGTGAACGCTGAGTACGACAGCAAGGCTCACTTTACAAGACAGAATGAAACAGTATAGCAATAAAATTAACAAAGACTAAAATTACAGTGCATAAAATCAGGATACATAAACAATTAGAAACGAAAGATTGCTGTGACCAGAGAGAATAGTGATCACGTTGGATGAGCTAGTTTAAAAAGATGTGTTTTCAGGCGGGATTTAAAAATGGAAAGCGACTCAGTGATACGGATGCAGCGCCGCTGATGGCTCTAAACCCCATAATGGTCAAACAGGCAGGAGATGCAGTTAGGTGAATAAAGGAAGAAGATCTAGGAGTACGGGTGGGTGTGTTGATATGAAGGAGGTCACTGAGGTACAGAGGAGTGAGGTTGTGAATGAGTTAATTGATGAATTTGAGACAGAAGAGAATTACAATAATCAATGCGGGATGTAACCAGGGTGTGAACGAGAATGGCTGTACTAGTGGGTGAGATTTTAACTCATCTTTTTTTTAGGATTTAACTGAAAATAAATGGGGTGTGTGATCATTGTCATTACTTGCCCCAGTAGACACAATCATAAAGCTGCATCCCTTTTTAAAGTTCCTTTTTATTAATCGAATGAGTAAAATGTTATCATAACCAATGAGAACGAAGGCCAGAACCCTGAAAATAAGGTCCAGGTTCAAAGAATCCAACCACATTTTCTTTTGACTTGGTGCTTATTGAGAAGGGAACCATCTAATGTTCCTGCTGATGTTTCACATTTGCTGTCTTTTCCAGAATCCAGCTATAGCAGACATTTACACCGAACATGCGCATCAAGTTACTGTCGCTAAGTACGCCCCCAGTGGATTCTACATTGCATCTGGAGGTAAATGATCCATGTAAGAACACATGTCAGCAAATGGGTGCTACTAATGCTGATATTGTAATAAAATAATTGTTTTTAAATCCTTTTTAGATGCTTCAGGAAAGATCCGTATCTGGGACACCACCCAAAAGGAACACCTGCTCAAGTACGAGTACACCCCTATTTCAGGCAAGGTCAAGGACATCGCATGGACAGAGGATAGCAAGAGGATTGCTGTTGTTGGGGACGGACGAGAGAAGTGAGTGTGAAGATACAGGGTGCCTGTCCATCAAGACTGTGAAATTACCCATAGCATATTATTATTTGACTAAGCAATATTTTCCATAATGTCTTTTCATTTAATCCTGGCTTGTAGACTTGTTTATAGACATGCATGTTCATCTCTTGTTGTAGGTTTGGGGCAGTGTTCCTGTGGGACTCTGGCTCCTCAGTGGGAGAGGTTTCAGGCCATGCCAAATTAATCAACAGTGTAGACATCAGGCAGAAACGCCCATACCGCCTTGCTACTGCCAGTGATGATACCACCGGGTCCTTCTTTGAGGGGCCTCCCTTCAAGTTCAAGTTCACATTACGTGTAAGTTGCAGAGATTAACATATGCTTTTTTTCCCCCCTACCTGTACAGTTTTTGGACAGGGGTATTTCTGTTTAAACAAAGTAGTAGGAGCAGAGTTGATTTTGCTGGACCTGTCGGACCAGCTGAAGGGTAAATGTCAAATTCAACAAAACAAAATATTGTTGCAAACGCAGACAAATTAGTGGATTATGGAAATATTCTGTGACTTTAAACCAGATATCTTATTTTAAATCCCCGTTGGTCCTTTCAAGTCTGTAACACCCTGGTGGTTTTTGACAGTGCAGCCTTGTTTGTCTTGTTTCCATATTACATAACCCACTTCCCCCATAAAGGATGTGTGAGCCACATTCTTTAAAACGGGCCTTCCCTCTATAACCACGTAAAACACTTTTTAAATGTTTTGATAGTTGCTATTCTTGCAACATGCACTGCACATGAATTTTCTATCAAAATAATAACTTTTCCCTGTAGCATTTTGTGTTGTTTAACCTTGGTCAGCCCTGATCATCAGGTCTGAAATGAGGAAGGACTTTGTCATGAGGATGACCAAGAATAATAATATTTATCTGGTTAATTTGCCGGTTTGCCTTATGTCATGTCTTATTAATTATAACAGATTGAAAGTAAGGGACTGTGCTAAATAAAACACTAATATGGACTGCATATTCATGTCTGTCTTTACGGATCATCACCTTCTGTCTGCCTGGTGACTGCTAAAGGACCACAGCCAGTTTGTCAACTGCGTTCGCTTCTCTCCAGATGGAAGTCGGTTTGTCACAGCCGGTGCTGATGGCCAGGTGAGTATCGGATTATCAGGTGTGGCCATGTGACAAAGATTACCACAATAATTAATTAATTAATTAATAATAACTATCACTGTATATTTACTGAAATGATAAAAAAATATGTTTCAACCTAAAGTAGCAGGTTGATATGTGAATATATTAACATATAAATTCACAAAAACTGTGGGTTTAATGAGAATAACCTTTACAGATTTTCGTGTATGATGGAGCGACTGGTGAGCGTGTTGGCTCACTGGGTGGAGAGAAGGCCCACAAAGGAGGAATCTATGCTGTAAGTATTAATTTTTTTTTTTTTTATACATGAAACGACTCTACATTCAGTATACATTTAGCTAGTCTGTCTTGTTTAAACTTAAAGTATCATCACAGCGTTTAACCTCCTTATCATCCTCTGGCCCATTAACTTGGTTAGTTGGCTGGTTTTGTTTTTCAGGAGAGCTAGTTATAATCAGAGTTAGCATGCAGTCTAGAGTATGTGGATACAAGATGCTTATTTACCTATTCAAATGAAGGATTGTTTGCTCTGACAGCCGCTTCCTTCTGTCCTCAAGTTACTGATTTGATTTTTCTGTTGATTTAATCCACAAAGCACTCGGGTTTCTGTTGTTGAGTGAACATTTATAGGACACTTGAACACTTTGTAACACTTTGGCTACATGCATATTAAAATCACAACTTTTTCTTTTAATCCGCCCCCCCACTTTCAATCCTCCAGGTCAGCTGGAGCCCTGACAGCTCCCAACTGATCTCTGCCTCAGGGGACAAGACCGTGAAACTCTGGGATGTTGGTGCAGGTACAGCCGTCACCACCTTCAACATGGGCACTGATGTGACAGACCAGCAGCTGGGCTGCCTGTGGCAGAAGGACCACCTCCTCGGCATCTCCTTGTCAGGATACATCAACTATCTGGACAAGAACAACCCTGACCGCCCCATACGCACCATCAAGGTCAGACTCTGTTTAAAGATGCTATTCCTGGATGTTATCAGAGTTCCTTTATACTGATAAAACATTATGTTAAAGCTTATTTTACGCCATAAGTGCAGAGACTAGAGGCATCTGACTTTATTTAGCAGAAGGCAGTGAGATCTTAGGTCACTACAGAAGCATTCAAAATGTGGCTTTCACTGGAATTCATATTCTACCAAATCTCTCAAGTGATATTACTGAAATATTTTACATTAGCTAATCTTTTATGCCCTTATAAGTGTATCTGAAAACATGTTTTTGTTCATCCTACAGGGTCACACCAAATCCATCCAGTGTTTGACGGTTCACAAAAATGAAGGGCGATCATACATCTACTCGGGGAGCAGTGATGGACACATCAATATCCTTTCCCAGATTAATGGTGCCAATAATGACTGTAAAGGTAGATCAGTGGCCCATAAGTCAATAAAGTGCCCTTTATACTACATGTACTTTTGTTATGCCCAGTTTTGGCAGGTGAAGACATTTTATTTTGTCTTAGTAATTGGTTTGAGAAGTGTTTGTTGTTGTAATACTTATTTTGGCCACACGAGGCTGAAGTGCACCACTACCGAAACATGGACTAAAAGCATTCATGTTTTCTTCCAGGTGAAGTGCAGATTAAAATAAATTTCTAGCCAAAAAAAATACATGAGTTATGTTGCATAACCTGTTTACACACAGTATTCTGTACCTTGTGTTTAGAGTGCATGGAGAAATTAAAACTCGCCTTAGATCAGAATGGTCTCTCAGGGCTGCTGTACATTTTTATCAATATCTATATATATATTTTCGTCAGAATTTCATTGCTGACGGACGATTGTTGCAGGAATCGAAGGCAGCACTACATTGCTTGCATTTCATAGATGAGGGATCAATACTAGATGAGGAAGCCTTTGTGCTACATTCAGTAGCAATCTGGACAGCTTTTTTCATTATTCAGAGATGGTGGGTTCTTGCAGCCTTAATCTTTGCATTAGAATCTATGTTTTGATGCATTAATGCAGGGCTATTCAATTGGGACGGATTTTAAAACCAGGACACGGAGATGGGCCGGACATTTTCTCACGAGTTGGGATGGGTATCATTAGGATTTTTTTTTTTTTTTTTGGGCACTTGTATTGGTAATCCTTATTTGTTCAGTTCTTTATCGATGCTCTTATCAGTCCTATTTATTACTAAATAATTGCATGTTATTTGAAAAAATGAAATAATTTTGTTATTAACTAAATGTTGTTTCTAGGGCAGCAACAGGATTTACAACAGCAAAGTCACTAATATCTCACTGGAAACAAATCTAAAATGTGAGTTAAATAAATCATATTCCTGATGACGACAACATACTGAGTGAAGTATAGAAAGAATGAACATCTCACTGTCGTCTCTGCTGCTGGCGGTAGAGAGGAGGGCTGGTCTGTCTCAGCTACCGGCTGAGTTTATAATGTGTCATATTTTAATGTACGTGGCAAACTGAGCTTAACAGTTACTAAGGACAGACAGCTTTCACTTTAGCTTGTTTTTAACAATAAGCTATCAGCTGAGCTAGCACCGTGCTTGTGTAAAACCAAAACTCAGTGCAGTGGATGAGAGACTGAGCAGATTAAAACATTGCAATTTCTAATTAAACAGGTGTTGGTAAAGTATTGAATTTTTACTTGCTAAGTTTTTATTGCACCATGTATCCTACTTAACGAGTGTAGTGGTTGTCAATGTCTGTAATGTCCACTGATCAGCTGGCTGACTTTGCTGCAAGTGTGTAGTGGAGGCGCTCTGCAGACACAGGAGAGGAGAGGCTGCAGGTCGGACAGTTAGTTTTGAGCTTAGATTGGCGGTGATCGGTACAGTGCATGTGAAACTCAACATGTATGAGAAGGAAACGATATAGCTCACTCTTAAGCTACTTCCATTCACTATACATGTAGTTTTCATTTGTTGTCATATATATTTATGTGCTGGGCCACATGGAGGGTTGCTTCGGGGCCGGATTTGGCCCACGGGCCGCCAAGTGTATAGGGCTGCATTAATGTGTACAGCTAGTTCAGTTGTCCCCATGCTCACTTGTCAAAGTCACTTAGCGGTGTGTGCGTTTATTTCATAGTGGGGCTTTTTGTTGCCACTTTCCTGCAATATTAAGTATCCATGTCTACAGTTCATTTGTGCCTTTAACGATTGCCGCACATTACTGGGATGCAGAAACCGGGGAGAACAGCTGCTTCTCGGGGAAGGGCCACACCAACCAGGTGAGCAAGGTGGTGATCGACGAAGCCAACGAGCTGGTGACGTGCAGCATGGACGATACACTGCGCTACACTAACATCAACAAGAAGGAGTACAGGTAGGGGCCACTGTGTGTTGCTGTGCAGATAACTATGAAATAAATTTAGTGGGGATTATATCGATGATCTGCAGTTTGTCTATTAATGATAATGAAGACGGTGTGTCATCTGAAAGATAAATGTCATTGGTATCTCTCTTGTTTTCTTTTACCTCTGAATATGGGCTTTCAGAATTCCATAACTTCTCGGCCTCTAAATGTTACAATGCTCATTTATCGTATAAATAACCCAAACTGATGGTTTTTCAGTGCCTCTGATGTGGTAAAGATGGATGTTCAGCCTAAAAGTGTGTCAGTAGCAGTGGGAGGGCTGTCGCTGGCTGTGTGCATTGGACAGGTAATGTGTTTTTAATGTATTCATCGTCGCCTAACTTAGCCAAGTTCTTAGTTCAGTATTTCTCCTGTGTACACATTTGAGCATTTCAAAGGTTTTACATCATCCACCTGATATTTTAATCCTCTAAAGTTTCACTGTCTGCAAATGTTGTCCTTTTTTTTTTTTGATGCAATAACTTGTCATCGCTTGCTTTCTCTAGATTGTCTTGCTGAAGGATAAGAAGAAAGTCTTCACATTGGACAATCTCGACTATGAGGCAGAGGTTGGAGTTCTCCACCCTGGAGGCACCACTGCTGCAGTAGGAGGAGCAGTAAGTGGACACGATTGGTCAGCTTTGCTCTTGGAAAATGCTTTCGAGTTTGGGGGGGGGGGTAAATGGCCATCACAGGAAACGGTTCAGTACATTGCTCATCACACACCAAGGACTCCTCAGGTGTGAGAGTCACTCTTGTTTTGTTTTTTTTTCTTCTCCTTTTTTTAGGATGGGAAAATCCATCTGTACTCTATTCAGGGAAACACTCTAAAGGACGAGGGTCAAACTCTGGAGGCTAAAGGGCCGATCACAGACATGGCCTACTCAAATAATGGAGCCTATCTGGCTGTCATTGACGAGAAGAAAGTTGCCACAGTTTATAGTGTGGCTGACGGCTACTCGGTAAACATTTGTCTGTTCTACTCAATATACAGTACCTCTAGCAGTTTTGTATAAATTCGAGTCATTCTCTATTTTTGAAAATGATTTATCACTCTTCTTTTTCACCAGGTCAAAAACGAGATGTATGGACACCACGCCAAACCAGTGTCTTTGGCCTGGTCCCCTGATAATGAGCACTTTGCGACTGGTGGGATGGACATGATGGTGTACATCTGGACGGTTGGTGATGCAGACAACAGGATTAAGGTCCCAGGTAGGCCAAGAAAATATTGCACGTGCACTTTCACTCATGTCTGGCTTCCACGCAGATATATACCATATGAGTTCTATAAATCCACTAAGCAACACAATCATAGGAAACAGGACATTTAGAGCTGAGCTAAATTATGCATTTAGAACATGTAAAGGTAAGAAAATGGTTGAGATAATATTAAAACAACAGGTTTTGAGTTCATTAAAATCTTAAAGGTCAAGTGTGTAATATTAGGAGGATCTGTTGACAGAAATGCAATATAAGATCCATAACTACGTTGTCAGTAGTGTATAAAGACCTTACAAAATGAACTGTTAAGTTTTTATTACCTTTTAGAACGAGCCATTTCTGTCTACAGACACCACAGGTCCTCTTACATGCCATGTTTCTACAGTAGCCCAAACTGACAAACTGCTCTGCAGAGCGAGTTTTGTCACTACTTTAAATATGTACGAAGAAGAACAAATAACGGTTATGACTGGTTTATTAGAAGTATTACAGGAAGAGAAATTTGGACAAATGGAGGACCACATGATTTATTTAGCCCAAGCGCAGACAGAGGGTGTCGGCCACCGTAGCTTCTCCTAAATTGTACATGAGACATAAAGAAGTATACAGAACTTTGATTCGTGTCAAAATCACATATTGCATATACATATTTTACAAACATGTAATTTGTAAAAAGGTTATAATAATTTGTTTGCTGTGCATGTAGAGTGAACTGCATGTTGTTTATATGCTCTGATAATGCTAATCCAACACATCTTTGTAGTAGCGTCCATGGTGATTCCACATTCCGACTTAAGAGCACATGAACACACACTGAGGTCTGAAGAACGACTTCACAACTTGGCGAAATGAACTGTTGGCTGCTGGTTGCAATTTGCAACCCTCACCACTAGATGCCACTTAAACTTACAAAACTTAAGCACTGCTTTAAGAATTATACCTTTCTAAAGTCATAGCTCGTTATGTATTTGTTGTGTGAAGTGAACTTGGCTGTAAATGGTTTCTTGTCTTTTTAATTTAATGCTTTTTGTCTGGGTTGAGAAATTTTTGTAACAAGGTTGTTTCACGCTTTAATGTCTGCAGACACTCACCGGTTGCATCATGTTAGCGGCCTGGCCTGGGTAGATGAGCATACACTCGTCACTGCCTCCCATGATGCCAGCATCAAGCAGTGGACTATTACGTACTGAGCTGCAAGCATACAAACATCCACATCTCCAGGGACAAGGACTACTGTAGAATTCAACCTTTCTCTTTTTTTAACTGTATTTTCACTGTCTAAACGGTGTTCTATGCTGTCTGTAAACATTGAATTGTAAATGGTTATGGCTGGGGAAAGCACCCATAAAAATGATCTGAGACACGTCTCTTTGATGCGAATAACCTCAACTTACACAGAGACAAAATGTTGAAATATACAATGTAACCATGAGTGCTTTTACATCTCTTTTGAGCGTTATGGACCCAGACAAATATTTGTAAGCTCAACATTCCATAGGTAATTGCTTTCACCGAGTTTAAACAGAAATCCATGTCTGTGGTTAGCCTCAATGCATCCTAACAAAGGCTAGTTTTTGTTGTAAAATTAACAAAAACATTTTTGAAAAGAAATGAAACCTTTTGGTTACATTCCTGAAATGAGAAGTAACCGGTCCCTTTTTTTTTTTTTTTTTTTTTTTCAAGGTTTTAAGAGGGTGGGTGTTTTTTTGTTTTTTTTTGCTTTCTCTTTACTTTCTTTTTGATTCACAATTCTTCCTGTTGGACTGGGGAGCAATAATAGGAAATGAAAGAACAATGTATGTGTACAATCAAGATGCTGTCTGTTCAGTTGAAGGTCCTGTGTTGTTGCTGTGTTTTTGTTTGGGCCCACTATGCTAGTCTCACTTTATTTTTCCATGTCTTTATGCATCTGCTTCCCAAAGTGGGAGTGTTCCATTAATAATAATAAAAAAACACTTTTTATGCATTTTCCAGTTCATGCTGATTTGCCCTCTTTCTGTCGAGTGAAAACCTTCACAATTTCATGGCATTCAGGAACACATTGAACTGTGCGTATTTATCAGGAGGGAGTACAGACCGCGAGGAGCAGATGACAAAGCTTCCTCACACGTTTAGTGCGTTATTTGGCCATCGATATCCCCGGATTGGACATTGTCCTTCTTAGATAGTAGCCTACTCATGAGGAGCTGATGATGCAGTACTCACCCAGATTTTTAAAATACTTCAAGAAACGAAGAGTTACGTACACTGATATTATCTTACCTGTAGAAGGGGACACATTTATCTGACACGTAAGGTCGTGGTTAGATCAATTTTACTGAAAACACACTATTAATGAATGCTAATGACTTGGAATCATTAACTAATTGATTCTGTTGATCGATCTAAATGATGGGCGGGATATCAGTAAAGTGAGGTATACCAATATGATTTCAAGCGATCTAAAATTAGACAATACCGTTTATACCGACATAGTTTGATGTTATGTAATTATAGGGTTGCCACCTTCAATACAGAAAAATAAGGGACGCCTGCCACAGCGGGGGCCACATCCCTCGGGGGCCTGGCAACCACAGGTCCCATGGTGTGCCAGTGGTGGTATATCATAACTTAAAACATGTTTTCAGGAAAGTATTAAGATTGATACCACTGGACATTATAATCTGCTATCTTCTATTGAAATCCGTGTGAACAGATGCACTCAGTCTCTATCACAACTGTGACAAAGGACCAACCTACTCAGCCTCTGTTCAAAACACGACTAAAGGGAACATCTTGTCTGGACTGCATTCTAACCGATGCCCCCGAGTGGCCACACAGTGTCCGAAGCATTATATACAGCCCTTTTCCAGTCACCAAAACAACAACTCAACAGACTAGTGGTCATATTGTCATAGCTTAGGCCAACAATGTGTGACAATGTGAGACCACAAAAAATAGGCTTTTGGAGGAACTTGTGAAATGTGAACTGTATTTGATTAACTTATTTAATCAACATGTGCATAACTTATTATAAATAGGCTAAAAAAAAGACTGTTGCAAAGGATTTTCCATGAACATCAGTGGATTCGAAGTAATAGGCCTTGTGTGCAGTATTGGAGCATGTTAGGCCTACTTCCTTTTATAATTTTTTTTAAAGTACACTACTCGTGCAGCACTGAGTAGCTGTTTGTCTTTCAAACAGCTGCAGTAAAACTATGAACAGGACTACTCAAAGTGAGCTCACTCCTCATGAGCTCCAGAGAGCACGTGTTCTTGCTGTCACTTTCTTGGTCATTCTGGAAAATATCCTCTCCACACAACCAGAGGATGCTGCTATATTTATGATGGGGCTGTCGATGGACAGAGTGAGAATGTGCTAGTAAACTTGCATAATTGTTAAGGGTGATGTGAACACAGATTTTGGCTAAAATATTTGTCATTGTTTGCAGTAACACCATCCAAACAATGAAAGCAGACATAAATAACCTTTCCACAAACATTTTTAAATTTAATTAACACCATTTTATTGATTGGTCAGTAAATATATTTATGTATTTATTTTATCAGTTTTTATTCAGCCTATTGTTAATTTTATAGTATTGAAGGATGCAATTCTATAGATTGGTTAAGCATAACACATTTATGTTGTTTATATTCTTCACATAGGCACTATAATTTGATAATTAAATGCATTAAATATCTCTCCCTTGTCTGCATGTGTCTGACTTTATAGCCTATCTCAACCTTAAAAAACAAATCATACCATAATGTGGACATGTGATTAATTTACATTGTAACAATATTTCTTAACAAATAGGCAGCAAAATTTTACAATGTAATGGAGAAAGTCACCAGATCAGACATACAGGCAGAAAGAGACGGAAAGAAGCGGGTACGCTGGCGTGTTTGCAGCAGACAAATTTAGGTCTGTGAGTGTGAAGAGAACTGAAGGAGGCAGATTCAATAAGTGAGTGGAAAATCAAGTATAATTAAAATGGTGAAATAAAAAATAAGCTAAGTTAGGCTACTATACAAATAGTAAAAACATGGCCCTAAAACAGACACTCTCCCCCCCAGCCCACTTAGCAGAAAATACCGATATATGTTTTATACCCAGCCCAAGTCTAAACTACTGGCAACACCACTAAGTGAAAATGTCACAATTTGGGCCCAATTAGCCATTTTCGCTCCTTTGTGTCATTTGACTCGTCAGGGTTACAAGGTCTCAGGAGTGAATGGGGAGCAGATGTGTTAAATTTGGTGTCATCTCTCTCACACTCCCTCATACTGGCCACTGGAAGTTCAACATGGCACCTCACAGGACTAAATAAGTTGAGTGTCCGTGATCAGCGTCATATCCAGAGGTTGTCTTTGGGAAATAGATGATGAGTGCTGCCAGCATTGCTGCAGAGGTTGAAGGGGTGGGGGATCGGCCTGTCAGTGTTCAGACCATACGCTGCACACTGCATCACATTGGTCTGCATGGCTGTCATCCCAGAAGAAAGCCTCTTCTAAAGATGATGCACAAGAAAGCCCACAGTCAAGCAGACTAAGGACACGGATTACTGGAACCATGTCCTGTGCTCTGATGAGACCAAGATAAACTTGTTTGTTTCAGATGGTGTGAAGTTATGTGGTGGAAACCAGTCTGTCTTGTCTACAGTCAAACATGGTGATGGGAGTATCATGGCCTGGGGATTTATGAGTGCTGCCTGCACTGGGGAGCTACAGTTCATTGAGGGAACCATGAATGCCAACATGTTCTGTGACATACTTAAGCAGAGCGTAATCCCCTCCCTTTGGAGACTGGGCCACAGGGCAGTTTTCCAACATGATAACGACAGCAAACACATCTCCAAGCCGATCCACTTCCTTGCTGAAGAAGCTGAGGGTTACTGTAATGGACTGGCCAAGCATGTCTCCAGATCTAAACCCTATTGAGCATCTGTGTGTGATGTCGTCATGGAGGATTGGAAGAGGACTACAGTGGCAACCTGTGAAGCTCTGGTGAACTCCATGCCCAAGAGGGTTAAGGCAGTGCTGGAAAATAATGGTGGCCACACAAATATTGACACTTTGGGCCCAATTTGGACACTTTTCACTTAGGGGTGTACTAACTTTTATTGCCAGCGGCTTAGACATTAATGACTGTGTGATGTGTTATTTTGAGGGGACAGCAAATTTACACTGTACAAGCTGTACACTCACTATACATTGTAGCTAAGTGTCATTTCTTCAGTGTTGTGACAGGAAAAGATATAATCAAATATTTACACAAATGTGAGGGGTGTACTCACTTTTCTGAGATACTGTATATCTTTATGATTAATTGAATTTATATAAAAATGATTGAATGGCAGTCAATAGCAATCACATCCTAATGTTTACTGATATATTTAGAGGGAGGGGAAGGGATGTGTTGAGATTAGATCAACTTTCTACCATTTCTTAAATGCTTTGTGGTTTCAGTAATCTCGTGGTAACGGAGGGTCTATGTAGTCTTAATTACTTAATGAATAATATAATCTTTATGACTTTCAGATAAGATATAATACAGAAGGAGGAACAGACTATCTGTGATTCAACTGACAGCACAATGGCTCAATGGACTAGCAGCAGCATGATGATGTGAATTGTGTTCTATTAGGAATCCGTCCAATTAAGTGGAATTAATAGTACAAAATAGTAACAAAAAAAATATGTGATGTAATTATTACAAACAATGCATTTGCTCTTTTTCACAAACAAAGACCACACCATTGGAAAACGTAATGTTTCCTTTATCAAAAATAAGAAGGCTTGCAAAACCCAGGGAGTTGAGACGCAGGGTGCAGGTTGCTTGTGGACTTTTCAGGCTCCACTGAATCCCCCTGTTGTTATTGTGCTAAAAGAGAGAGAGGGCCTAAAATTTGCACCCATATGTCCAATAAACTATAAAAAGCAACAAAGGGGGGGACAGAGATGTAAATAGATGCTATGTTTTATTTTCAGTAGTCCCAATCTAGAGAACATCAAAAAATATGTATTGACTGTTATTTATAAATTCAGCTTTGACCCTACCTATGTTAGAAACCCTGTGATTGGGTGGTCCTGGGCCCCACTTGGAGCTCAAGCTCACCTAGGCCCACCTGCAGCTTCACACAATGCTTCCAATAACACCTACTACACCCATCACTATGTTTACATGCACAGTAAGCTAAAAAAGAAAAAAAAGATCTCAGACATTGAATGGCAACTGTGTAAAACCAAATGCTGGTTGTAACTTTCAAAAACTTTCATCATACTTGTGGCATCTCTACTTTTTTGGTTTGGGTAAACCAATCAACACTATTTAAAGAGCTATCTTGCTCCACACCAAACTTTCTTGAAATAACAAAAGCACCTCTTTCTGCTTTCTTAAATCCCATTTGTTTATTTTGTGTGTGAAAGGTGTGAAATTATATACTGTAGATGTTTTAATGGCTTTCCAAACTGAGACTTGTCTTGAACAATCACAAGGATTATTAACACTATTTCATGTCTGTCACACAACCCAGATTCTGTTTCAGCTCCAAGCTAAAGACTTAAAGAGGACATGTTTCTGCTTGCCTGGGAGAGTACAACCCAAGGAAAAACAGCCTCCCCAGGAATAGTCACATTTTCTCACTGCGAGAGAAGTGAAAGTGCACTGCTTCTGTTGCACAGATTTCCCAGACTGTGGATTCAGCTTAACATTTGGAAAAATGCACTTTAACATGGCCAGCAGACCAGAAGAGATTAAGTTACTGGTGAATTATTGTTGTCAAGCCATTAATAGAACTCAGAGAATCACATCACAAATTTTGCATACTAACTTCTGGAAAAAATACATTATGAATAGCCTGCACTTAAAAATAACAGGGGCCCAGCATTTCTTTGAGTGCTCTCGCAGTGTCAGAAACTGGTCAAGCCAGATCTCTCAGGAGCCAAATCGTCACTCAAGAAGGAATTTCCACTTTATCTCATGACTCAC